TTATTATTATTATTATTATTATTATTATTATTATTATTATTATATTCTTGTTCTTGAAGGATGGGATTTAATGTATGGTTGACATGCATATTTAATTTTTAATAAGAAAGTGGACCGGGCTTTCAAATCACATATTTTGAGGAGTGCCTTACTTCGAGTTTGGAAAAAGTATTATTATAGGTTAAACTATAAAATACCTATCTGGGGGATTCCTAGACATGCAATTGAGGGGATTTCTAAGGAGATGAATTTTGATAAAATTTTGTATAAAGAATTATTAACTTGATCAGGTTCGGATTGGCATTTAAAATCTCTAGATGTATTAAGGCAAGAAAATATTCTACAGTCATGGTTTCAATATTTACAAATAGTGGACAGGTGGACTGTAGATAAAAAAGAAGGAATAACACTAGAAGATGGAAATCTGGTTATTCAGATTAAAGATCAGAGTCAGGCCCATATAAAAAGAATTTACAATGCTTTAATAGAATTAGACTCTGAAACAGAATTGGTTAAAGACTGTATGATTAAATGGGCTCAGAATATCCAGGATCCGATCCCATTGGACTTATGGGAGACAATTTGGATTAGAAATGTTAGATTTACACAAGCTCAAAATTTGAGGGAAAATTTTTATAAAATGTTTTACAGATGGCATTTAGATCCTAAAAAATTATCTTGTATGTATCCAAATTTACAACCCAAATGTTGGAGATGTGGTAATATGGATGCGACATATTTTCATGTTTGGTGGAATTGTAAAAAGGTAAAGGCTTTTTGGATTATGATTTGGTGGAACATTCAAAAGATTTTTAAAAGGAAGATAAAGTTCACCCCTCAATTATTCTTATTGGGTATCTTTGTGGATTTAAATGACAAAGAAACTACTTTAATGTTGAATTTATTAACTGCAGCAAGGTTATTAGTAGGCTCCTATTGGAAGAAGGACTCGTTGCCTACTTTAGAAGAATGGATATTTAAAGTTTCTAACTTTGCAGAAATGGCAAAAATTTCTGCTTATTTGAAGGATCATACACAAGAAAGATATATTATTGTATGGAGAAGATGGATAGATTATATTCAGAAAAAATATGGGACTATAAAGTTTCATTTATTTTATGAGTAAATTTTATAGTAACTGTTGTAGAGATTTGTTTATATGACTTAATTTAAGGGGAGTTAAAGGTTAAGTATGATGTTTTTTCTTCTCTTTTTTTTTCTTTTTCTTTTCTTTTTTTTCCTTATTATTGTTAACTTTCTTAATAACAATCCTGTACTCTGCTCTGGGAAGCGAGGGGGGGGGAGGGTTGAGGGTGGGTGAGTGGGTGGGTAATGATAATATAGTCATGGTAAACACTTGGGCATTTCCCCTATGCTGCGTTCATGTGTGTGAGAGGGATGAGAGGGGAGGAAGGAGTAGGGAGGAAGTAGGATGGTTAGAGGAGAAGGGGAGGGGAAGAGAGTAAGAGGGGAGGAGAGAAAGAGGAGGGATGTGGGGAAGGTTAGAGAGGGTGAACGCAGCCTGGGGGGAGTGGGCAGGTGATACCAATGCTTAGGAATTTAATTGTATTTTGTCTGAATAAATGGAAAATAAAAACTTTTTAATAAAAAAAGAAAAGAAAAATATTTTAGCTTAAAAAGGAGATATTTTTAGGTAATGGATTAAAGGTAATCTAGAATTATGGATTGATTTAAGGTCTAAGATTGTGACTTAGAAGTAAGAGGAAGAGGGGTGATTAATGGAATATATATATTAAATTGATTAAGAATGTGGGCTTTTTTAGAACGATAGGTTTATTTGTAAGAAAATTATTATGTAATGTTGAGTTAATCTAATAAAATGATTGGTTTGTTTGATAACACGGATGTTATTAGTTATGAAAATTGGAATTTTGTCGAATGAAATTGGATGAAATTGGAATTTTGTCGAATGGATTGAAATGACTTAAAGTCGGATTTTATTCTGTCAGATTAAAGAGATTGATTGATTGATAGATTAGATATGTATAGGATAGATTAATATTTTATTTTAAATAAGGGATATTAGTGGAAGAAGAAATAAATAAAACTTATGATAAAATTAAGAAACTAGAACATATTTGGAAGGGATACCCAAACTGATAATGTTTGCACTTAAAGTTATTTTGATTATGGTAGTTTAAATTTATAAAACTTTAAAAACAGGTTTAGGTTGAATAAATTTAAGCTAGAATTGGACTATTTTAAATAAAATATGTTACTTAAGGGAAAAAGAGAGGGAATATTTGATGTATTGATTGACATGTATATATGTTTTGTCTTTGGATGTTTGACTACCCTAACACCACGGTGTGTCTTGAGTACTTTGTTTTAAAAATCAAAAAAACCAATAAAACTTGTTTTTTTTTTAAAAAAGAATTCACTGGGATATTTTGTTTTCTAGCTTGATGTTGAATGATAAACCTGTATGATTGTAATACAAGATATCATATTGATATAATTCAAGTAAGTGGCTAATATCAGTAATGACTTGGAAATTCCATCTGCACAGATCAACTTTATGCTTTTCAATAGCTCATTACAGTGCCAAAGCTTTGTTTTCAAAAGCACTGTATGCTTGCTGTTGCAGTGCCAGTTTCTTGGCCAAGTACAGTACAAGACAATCAAATATTTGTTTACACAGAGGATTTCAATGCAACTTGTTGGGTTCTGCCTTCTATGTAGTCTGTAATTGCTTGAGCATGGGTGGCAAAATGGGGGAATAAAACCTCCATAACAACATACACACCTAAAAATTATGTAGTTTGCTTTTTGATTTCAGGTAAGTCTATTTTCCCCAGGGCTGCTAACTTTTCCATGTTTTGCTTTCTCATTTCCTATTGTGTAAAGTCCAGTTGATATTCTTCTGGGTTGTGATCAGGTGGTCAGACCTGATTCTATTAAGCATGTTATGATTTTCTCTAAACATTTTAAACATTCTCCCAGCTTTCATATTACATGACTATGTCATCTAAACATATTTTACACCAACTACCTTATCCTGGAAGAATTCTATTCATAAGCCTTTGGAAGGTAACTGATGTCCCATTTTTTACATTTTTTCTAGACTTATAAAGATTTAAGGATAGCAAAGGTTTTTTCCTCCCTCTGCATTTATTTTCTAACGGAATCTGTCAATAATGTTTGGTCAGATTATATGCTGTAGAGAGTAAGGAGGATGACAGGGAGAGAGAAATCCACTACTAAAGCAATGAAGATGAAAACACTGATTAAATCCAAATAGTGAAGATGGTATACATAAACTTCTAGATGGACACACCACTAATTCTCAGTTTAAAAAAGGAAGGAGGTAAAATATAATCAGACTTTCAAGATTCAATTACTGTATGCAACCTTAATAGAAGTGGCCTTACTCTTAAAGTCGAGTTGATTTTTCTGCTCTACATCTTCGGGTTGACAAGTGTGGAAAGATATTTGACATTGCCCAATTAACTCATAGTGGCACAGCATAACCATCAAATTTAGCTACTTTATGAGTTTTACTTTCCCCAGTGTCCTAGGTCCCCACAGTAATTTTTTAAAAGAGAAGTGTACTACAAAAGGAAAGAAGAAAGATTGGTTATGATGGGCCTATGTAAAACGGCATGATTGCAAATTGTTGATTTCTGTTGATTTTTATTAGGAAAAGTTTATACACATTTTTAAAAAGCCACATTAATCATTTTGAACATTATCTCATTAACAGATCATGTGAAATGTTAATACCACTTTACAATGCCTTGGGGTTGTATCCAATGGACTTGGAATACTGCATCCAATTTTGTTCACCACGATGTAAAAAAGATGTTGAGACTCTAGAAAGAGTACAGAGAAGAGCAACAAAGATGATTAGGGGACTGGAGGTTAAAACATATAAGGAACGGTTGCTGGAATTAGGTATGTCTAGTTTAATGAAGAGAAGGACGACGGGGGATATGATAGCAGTGTTCCAATAGGGGCTGCCACAAGGAAGAGGGAGACAAGCTATTCTCCAAAGCACCTGAAGGCCGGACAAGAAGCAATAGATAGAAAATAACCAAAGAGAGAAGCAAGCTAGAATAAGGAGAAACTTCCTGACATTAGAACAATTAATCAGTGGAACAACCTGCCTCCAGAAGCTGTGAATACTCCAACACTGGAAGTTGTTAAGAAGAGATTGGATAGGGGGTTGGACTAAATGACCTCCAAGATTCCTTTCAACTTTACTATTACTATTACTACTACTACTACTACTACTACTCCTATCATACAAATTTGACCTTGAAAAAACTCCTCTGACTGAGAAAAATGGCGATCCAAATTCAAAACAGTTGAATTTCAAAATATTTTGGACAGCTTTAGTCACCCAAGTGATTCATGAAAATTTATTGGTTGAGTAGCTCCCCCCAACAAATATGTATATCTTATTTAATCTTAATTATATGTTAATTTTATTTATTTGATTTATACTCCACATTTCTTTTATGAATGCTCAAGATGGCATGTCCTTAGTTAGAATTATAATAAGCTTTATTACATTATAATAAGCTTTATTCCATTATAATTGATTGTGAATAAAATAAAAATTACTCCAAAAAAGACAAACTCCACAGATCCTCTCTATGAAAGTTAAGTGCAGAAATGTAGTGAAAACTACTCTTATGAAATGTGAAAAAGAAAAGGCATATATGTACATTTGATTCAGACCCTAAATCCTCTTTTAAAAATGTCCACATGGAATTGGTTGCTCTTTCAGGTTTCTTTAACTTTTGCTTTATGGAATTCAGAGAAACTTGCTGATGAATATAACAGTTTAATGTCTCAGCAGTTCACAGAAATGTAAGAGCCCAAGCATAATAGCTCAATCAAATCTTATTCTATCAGTCTTTTTGAACCTTGGCAAAAGGCATTGAGAACATTTTGATTTCAGTTCAAGTCATGGATAAATGTATTTCTAAACTGTTGCTTTGAAAGTAGGAAAAAAATTGATATTATATATATACCTTTATAACTTCTTTTAATTTCTTCTGCCATACAGTTTCAGCAACAGAAATGTACTTGCTGTCTGTTACATAACAATTTGCCATGAGTACATGATGAAGTTCACCCTTCAGGTTCACGGCTTTCAGGACTTTTTCAACGTGGTTTAAAGACATCAGAGCTTCTTTTTTGATGCCACCATTTGTAAGTTGCATAGTGCAGGGTACTAATGCAATTTGTCCAGCACAATATAGAGTATCTTCAACCTAAAAAAAAGCAATAAAGAAAACAATTTGTTAAAAGAGTGTAATTATTCCATATTTTCTAATTAAAAGTTACCATCTTTAACTTAAGTAAAAATATATCAGTCTGAAGATAATTTCTGGCAGGGATTTAGCTGCACTATAAAAAAAGATAGCATTGTATCACATTTGGATTTGGAAAGTTAAATGTAGATATTTACATATTCATAACTATTCTCAGACAAATCGCCAATGAACAGACCAATCTAGAAATATGTAGACTAACATAATGTCATAATATTTCCAAGGTATCAGTATGAAGACTTGTGTCATGTTTGAAGTAAATTTGTTTACAATCTGTCAACTAGGAAGGAGAGAGGGGAAGCTTTAAATGTTCTAATTTACAAGAATTCACTTTAATTTAAGGCAGAGTTGATTCCCAAGGTTTCATGAGCCCCAATACAGTGATATACTATCACTGTATTTACAATGAAAATGTAATATGTAATTAAGCAGTAGCTTGAATTAAGTTAACGTACCTACTATTTTATGTAAACTGTTAGCAGATCATTATGTTTTTCTTATTTTGCTATTTTACATAAAAAGTTTAAGGGAGTTACAGTATATTTTGTCTTTGTTCTTGAATGTCCAAGATAATAGTATAGGCCATCAATGTTTTCTGTCAGCTTATCATACTTGCTAATAAAGCAATTTCAAGAATAAACAGACTTAGCCTCAATCACTTATGCAATGGTTACATCAAGGCTTGGTTCTTTCAATGTATTTTATGTTGCTTTGTCCTTAGAGACTGCTAGAAGCTTATGTTTCAGAATGTGGCTGGCTGCCAGGATTTTGACTACAGTCACAAAACACCTTGTAGTACACTGCTTATTATTTGCTTTCCTGGTTATCAAATTCTTTGCAGATGAATTCATGTTCCTTGTTTGGACTTGAAAATCAGATAATTTGGAATTCCTTCCCTACCAGCCTCAAGTCCTGCTATGCTGTGTCATCATGGAAAATGGGGAAGTAGGTGTTCCTAAAAAGCATGAACCAAGACTGGCAAAGTATATGTGAAGAATATGTATTCCCAGCACAGTAATTCAAGGTATGATGGTCCTCCCAGGTCTCCAATTAAAGCAAACAGGTACCTATATTGGGCAGCAGAGATATAGGAAAATGCTGGTTAAAGATGATCATTTCAGTGACAATAGCAAAGGCATCATTTCATTCTGCAGTTGGAGAAGGAAGTAGTAAATCACTCCTGAACTTTACCAAATAAACTATTTAGATAGATAAATTGAGTGATGCTTTAGTGCCATATGATGAAACCATCAGGTCAGATATCATTTAACATCCTAATGAAAAAGAGCTGAAGATCTTTTGGAGTACTGATATTATTTATGGTGTGGTTAGATTAAAGCTTTTGAGAAAAGCTCTTTGTCTTGTTGTCAAAGGTAGACATATAGAAAAGGAACATCCAAAGATGCAAATAAATAATTACAATGGGAACATGGAATGTAAGTATGATGAACTTGAGGAAGTTCAACATAGTGAAAAATGAAATAAATCAACTACACAATGATACTTCAGGCATCAACAAAGTGAAATAGATGAGAACTGGACACTTTCAGTTAAAAATCATATTGTTTAATACTCATGAAATGAAAAAGAAAGAATATTGTTGCTTTTCTTATTGGAGCGGATATAGCAAAGCCTCAATAATATCAGTTAGGCTCATTATCTATTCATACTTCAACTACTAACTCAGAAGAAGGGGGTTCTGACAGGTTTTATGATCAAATTATTAAAGAGCCGAGGTGGCGCAGCAGTTAGAGTGCAGTACTGCAGGCCACTTTAGCTGACTGTGTTCAGCAGGTCAGCGGTTCAAATCTCACCGGCTCAAGGTTGACTCAGCCTTCCATCCTTCCGGGTAGGTAAAATGAGGACCCAGATTGTTGGGGGCAATGTAAATATATATATATATATATATATATATATATATATATATATATATATATATATATATATATACACACACACACACATACACATTGCTTACTGGTGTACACCGCTTAGAGAGTGCTTGCACTTAAAGCGGTATATAAGTCTCATAAATAAATAAATAAATAAATAAATTAATCTGAAATCAAAATAACATCCAAGTATAAATATAAAATATATATTAGGCAATTAACATACCGTTTTATCTAGCGGTTAAGGCATTAGACTATAAACCAGGAGACTAGGAGTTCTAGTCCTGTCATAGGCATGAAAGCCAGCTAGGTGACTCTTGACTAATTACTCTCATTGTAGCTTACGTCACAGCGCTGTAGTTTGTGGGGAAAAATAGGAGGAGGAAAGAGTATTAGGTTTGTTTGCCACCTTTTAATTTTATATATATAATTAAAAAAGTAAATATGTTGCTTATGGTTAGAGACTGAGATGTCAAAACTGGAAATAGTAATCAAGAAAACATACGGCTTAGGAAACAGATATGAAGCAGTGCAAGTTGCTATGTGCAAGTTCCAGTCAAATTAAGCAGAACAAAAACAACGAGTTTCTACAATATGACCATGAGCATATACCCACTTTTTCAAGAACATAAGGAATCACTTCGAAGTCTTAACTTTGATACAGAAACAGAGGAATTGCAGAATGAAAAAAGTTGCTAAGTATGAATGTGAAAAGAGACTGCCAAAGATGTAGAAACCGAAGAAATCAAATTGGTATCAGAACAAACAGAGGGAATTGCCAAGAAGAGTAGCCAAAGTCAGTAAGGCAGGCAAACATCTCAGGAAGAAATTTGATTTTATGTATTAACGTCGGGGATCATTCAAGACAGATCAGAACTGTTCATAAAACGAGGGATCCCAGATGTTCAAGGTGATTTAGAAAAAGCTGAAGATTAAGAGGCATTATGACTGATGAATGTTGGATAATGACGAAAGCCAAGGAATACCAAAGGGGAAAAAAAAATCAAGGTGTGCTTTACTGATTATAGAAAATCTTTGATTACATTGACCATGTCAGGCTGTAGAATATTCTTGGGAAAATGGAAATCCGAAAACATCTCATTATCCTCATGGAAAACCTATACACAGAACAAAGTGACAGTCTTGATGGAATGTAGTGTAACAGACCAGCACCAGGTTTGCTGATAAATGCAATATGATTGTACCTTCTTATTTATTCCACATATATGTTGAATATATACTGAGGAAGGTTGGACTGGAAAAAAATGAGCATGGTTTTTAAATTGAAGAAGAAACATCTATAACCTGTGTTATGCTAGTGACAATATTCTGTATCTAAAAATCCAGATGATCTGCCAGCTCTAATGATGAAAATCAAGGAATAAAATTAAAAATGGAGCAATGATTAAATATAAAGAAAATCAAACTAATGACAACATTAACCAGCCTTAGAAGTTGACAATGAAAATCCTGAATTGGTCAATAGCTTCTAACTTTTAAAGATTTATTTTCAAGAGCAAAGGTACTAGTAATCAAGAAATATTGCCCTAGACCAGAATCGGATAGGACAGCAATGAAGACCAGGGTTGCAATGAAGGCCTTGGAACAAATATTCAGATTTTGTGTCACATCTATTCATACAGAAATCAGAATTGAGCATGCTCAGATTATTATACTTTGGATACATTATGCAAGACCCAAATCCTTTGATAATTCCATAATACTGTGAAAGATGGCAGGAAATATAAAAAAGGATGACCAGAAGGAAGGAGAGTAGACTCAACTACAGTTATGATTGGGTGAACAGTTGGGAGACCTGAAGGGACCCGTTGAAGATAGATCATCCTGAAGAGACTCTAACTAATATGACTGCTAAGAGTCAGTACTGACACAATAATCACTCAATCATTTTGAAACCATAATACATCAAGAATCTATTTATACACATGAACTTAAGCAAGAATTCATTTTCAATAGAATGACCAGGATTTGCAAAACTTCAAGCTGCCCTCAGTAATACTTAATTTTGTTTCATCTCTAATTTAAATAGGAGTTTCTTAAGATTATTGAACAAAGAGTCAGCTGCGATTAAGTTTTGTGATTGTTTATACACACATACAGTACACAAATATTGTTTTTAAGTCATGTTAAATCATTTGAAAGCAAAATAAGTCTTCAAAGCTAACAAAAAGTACTTTTTTTCATTTCTAACACCACTATCCAGTCCATGGGTTAGAAATTTACAAATTTTGATATGAAATATTTGAAATACATCTTCCTCAATGATTGAGAATCATCTACAACAGGCATGTCAAACTACTGGCCTGTGGGCCGGAAGCATCACACCGAAACCACACCCATCCCATTGCCGGCAATGGGGAAAAAGTCATGATACATCGTGTGACATCACGTGACGTCACAAGTTTGACATGCCTGATCTACACAAAAGCCAACTAATATCACAAAAGAAGTGGAGTATCTGTCAAAAAGTCTTTTGTTTCTATAAGAAAGAGAAAAATGTGGGTCTGCTCTTTCTAACAGCAGTCTGATATTGTTTATCACATTTGTAGTTTCACAGCCTCTCTTGTAGCACAAAAACTAGTCTCAGGTTTAACCGCTGAATCCCCTGGAAAGAATCACCAAGTACACTCTTTTCCAAGTCCAATACATTTTATTTTTATCAAGCGTGCTACTAAACTTCCCCAGTTCTCCTCCTTCACTGATTCAATAATGCCCAAGGGACACTTCTAGCTATAAACAAACAAGCATCTATGTTGTTTGACACTGTGAACTGCTCTACTTTGCTTCTTGCATGAAACCAGTAACCATCCAGAATGATAGATTCTATACAGATAACTTTACATAATATTTATTGAACTCAATGGGCTACCCATTTTAAACCAAGTGACTCTCAGCAGTGAATAATTCTAAAACAAAACAATTAGAAACAGAACAGTGGTGGCACAGTGGTTAGAATGCAGTACTGCAGGCTACTTCTGCTGACTGCCGGCTGCCAGCAGTTCAGCAGTTTGAATCTCACCAGACTCA